CGTTGCCCCCGCCGGCGGCAAGCCCCCTTCCGGACGTTTTACGGCGTCGAGCCGTTATCTTCGCGCGCATGTCTTGAGGTATCTATCGGGAGAGTATGTGCGTTGCATTTTTGTGTTCGGGGTGTGGGTTGGATGATGATAGGTGCGCTTGTTCCTTGGTGGTGGTACACGAAAGAAGCCTATTGCTGTTCTATCGATAGCCTTGTTGTTGACGCCACTCTCCCGCTGCCGCTGCTATACTTGTACACTCAATGAACCAAGAAGGAACTAATCACGAAAGAGTACAGGCCCGGCCGGCCGTCTCCGTACTCTCCAAGACCGAAAAAGAACAAGAGAATATACCGCAGGTAGGTGGCGCACCAATCCCACGTCGTCGGCAAGAAGATGATTTTACCTTTACGAGGTGCTCGTAGTCGTCCAGTTGAAAACAGCTCTGGAGTAGCCCGAGCTCGAGGTCACTCGAGGTGGCCAGCAGGCCGCATGTGCGACCCTGCACCAGCGCCGCTAGCGCCTGATTTGCATGCACACACGATGCGTTGCTGTTGTAAGGGAATGGTGATCGTGTTGTTGCACTCGTTGCTCTTTTTTAGTGCCGTTCTGATCCCTGCCACACGCGCTGGTCTGAAAGGCAGAGCAACGAATTTCTGTGGTCTAAGCCTGATGAAACCAAGGTACAATTACCATGTCGGGTTCAGCTGTATGTCGAAGGTCGAGCGCGGAGTTGTAGAATAGTACTATGCAGGAGGAAAACAACCCCACTGGTTGTGATTTGGCGTGTCGTCCAGCCCGAGTTCAGATTACGTGGACCGGAGTTACCACAGGCGGGAAACATTTTGGACTACCGTAGCTCTTACTGGATTGCTGTAGATATACGTGCTGCTCTCGTTGATACCTTTGGTAGCCGCCACCTTCACGTAACGCACGCGACCAAAACCGAACATAGTTGTGACTTCCTTGAGAACCAGTCGCAACACCAAGCATGCGGAAGTTTACGACAAAACCTCCGAGCCTACAGTTCCTGGTCTTCTTTTCGCTATCTTAATTGTTGTTGTTGTTTGTTGTTGTCTTCACATTAAACTCGTGTCAGTTGCTAATCCCAAAATCTAGCAAAGACTCGGCCCGTGGTCACAAAAATGCTAGAGCCATCAGAAGATCTAAAGAACACGCACATGCCTAACAACGATTATTCGATGGGCCAGAGCATGTTCCAAGCGTCTGCCGGGTGGACGCGGGAATGATGATCATCTGTATATTTTTGCTTGATGAACCCGAATTTATTGTCTTGCTTCCAAACAGTTCATGGGTTCCAGTCGCACGGCCGCTGAATGCGACTGCGCTTTTACCCGCATGAGCGCAAAAAAATTGAAGCCTTTTGTCAGACTGTTGTCGGACCGACCTTGTTCTCGTTGTCCTGCAGCTCGATCATGTCCGCCAAGAAGAACTCGCCGTACGTCGCGCTGAGGAGGTCGCTCTGCGCCGCGAACACGGGCATCAGGTCGTCGTGATCTTCTACGCACGCCGGCCGAATCTGCATCGGTGGTGCAGTAGTTAAGTCGATAGCACGAGGCTTGTGATACATGGATTGTGCTTGCTTCGTTAGGGGCGCGGAAGCGACCCTTCATCGGGTCGACATTTGCGGAAACACCTCTCTAAACTCGATATGACTTTTGGCATTGTGAGGAAGCCTGATGGAGTCTGGAAACAACCTCAGCCAGGACTGAGACTTCGACGAAGAGGCAAGTACATCCGTGTCGCGCCTCACCCGCCTTGCTATTGGAATTTCCTGATAACCCTGCCGTCGTTTGGAAAAGGCCTCTGCCGTGAGGAACCGAATGCGTGGGTCTCATGATTCATCCCCATCCGTCGCAGGGAAGTAAGCACACAGCGCTACCGCGAGACGTGTGGTGAGTAACGCATGAAGCTTTCAAAGGGTGGGATGCAGCCGCATGCCTTGTCCGGCATACATTTGGAATGGAAGAGTATAGTGCAAAGCGCACAGGAAAATCGGCCGCGGACACATGTTCTTCGGTTAGGACTAAATTGGTCGGCACATTGTCTGTTCTCGTGCCAACAGACGAAATTGTGTCTCACTTACCGCAAGAGTCGGCAGAAAGGCCATGCGGTCGCACAGCAGCAGCCGTGGCGTCCCGTAGGCCTCGTCCAGGTTATTGGGAGACGCATCTGCGTGCCTGCTGAGCACCTCGAACGCGCGCAAGAGGTATGCCGGCGTCGGTATGCTTGCTGTCCCGGCCCCCTTCTTGCTGCCTTTGCCGCCGGTGCTCGTGTCACCCGGCAGGCTTATGACGAGGTAGTCGATTTCTGGGAGCGTGTTGAATACGGTGCGAACGATGTCCTCGAGAATGCCGGCTGCCTCTTCTTCCTCGGCTTCTTCCCCCCGGCGCGCCGCGGCGTTGTTGTCGCCCTCTTCCTCCCTACCGACAGCGACACCGCTTACAACGCCAGACGCCCGGGCGGCGCTAACGGCAACCGCAAAGTCCATCCAGAGGGTGTTCGTCATGGTCACTTCGGCATCCGCGGGAGCGTGAGTCTCGGAGAACCATTCCAGCCAGTCTTCCGAGATGCCGGCCCGCGGAGAATCGGAGAGGATCGCGAAGCCGACCAAAAATTCGGGGTGTTGCTGTTGTCTGTTGCCGGGGAGATGGACATCCCCGCCTCCGGCTGGGTTCGGATCGAGGGTGGACAGCGCACTCACGGAGAGATACGAGGTCTCGATCATCTGGCCGAAATTGTAGGAGCCGAAAAGCTTTCGGAACTTTTGGGGCCACAGGGTACAAGGTTCGAAGTATCAGCAGCAACAGCAGCAGTAAGTTGTGGGTGATGAACGAGGGTGGTGTGGACCTCAGAGAGTATAGGGAGCGCGAAAATTCCAACGGTGTACAATTTGCACTCCCTGATGTAGTGGTATCGTCAAGGAGAGAGTGTGAAGGTGTACCGATGTACGGAAATTTGTCTGACAGATGTCTTCGTAAACGGCGGGTCCTCCTGTACACGTTCCATCCACACTATTGACCGTAAGAGTCGGAGAGATGGCACCCCCGTGTTAGTGTTTTTTGTATAGCGCATTTCTCCATAACCAGGGGGGCGTGTGTGGTGTTGCCCTGCCTGGTCTCCGCTCTTTCCCCCTCCCCCTTGGCGAGCAAAGGGGGTTACCACTGCCGAAAAGGGTGGTTTTGGAAACATCTCGTCGAGGGCTTTCCTGAGAGGTATCGGTTGGTGTTCGCACCCTCCTACAGTAGTTGTGGAGAAATACGCTACAAAAAAACGCTAACACGGGGGTGCCATCTCTCCGACTCTTACGGTACCCTCGGCGCCAGGCAAGGAAATTCGATGGAGGTGTTAACTAATTTTTTAGTATCAAGTCCAGGAGGCTCTCAGGACTGTATTTTCCTCCCTATGATGTCAAAGTAAGTCGCGAGATGTGTTCACAACCCCGGTAACGACCCGCGTCCTGCAGACGACGCCATATGTGAAGCTGCATCGATTACGGTAAAAGTCAACTGACAGATACCTGTTAACATGTGTTGGTAAGGGGAGACTGAACAATAGTAGCAAAATTTACGGCATTATTAAGAACTCTTGAGTCCATGGCTGTTACCGCTCGGCCCACAGTTGCCCGCATGACGGGAACTTCAGTCGTAAGAGGTCCGCTGATATCGTCAGCGAAAAAATTACGGCAGTTTGGATAGTCTACACCTTTAGATATTATCTCCTTCCCACTGCTGTGTCGCCATAATAAATAGGACGAAAACACAACACTGCCCGACTAACTAGTCTTACAACGTAACAGTCTATCTCTGTAATGCCTTGTGGCTATGTGTCAGAACGCAATACACGTGTAAAGTACAGATCGAAAGCGTAGAGTACACGGTGGAGAACGTGATTTCGTGGTGCTCCAGGTTGTGCGTGAAAACTCCTGTTCGTACCAGCAGTCTCCCGTTTCTAAAGTAGTAAATAAACATGCACACTCACCATGCTCGGCCCCCCCGCCTTGCCCACGAGAGTAGTAAGCCCACGCTGATCCCCAGGCTCCGCTCGTCGCACTACGATTCCCATTGTTTCGACGCGTGCCCTGGTGGTCTAAAACTCTCGAGGGTCTTTGGGGCTGGAGGGGTCAACGCTACGAGATTCGTCTGGCGTGCGCTCAACCGCAAAGGATTCGCGCGTTATCTCGTACCTTCTACAATTGGTTGTGTCTTCGTATGTACCGAGATACAAATGTAGTTTCGCACCCCCGAGTCACGAACAGTACTTGTACTTCCCTCGACCATCCTCGGAATTTTGGTGTTTTGGTCGGTAAAAAATCGTCGGTAAAATACGAAACGCCAAAATTCGTGCAGGTTACGCCGCTATGTGCACTTTCAACTCCCATTCGTCCGCGCCTCGTGTGATCATCTGTGATCACGATCACCGCATCATCATCCTCTCTGCAACCTGCTTCTCATTCACCGCAGCAGGCATATCTCTCGTAGACGCAAATAAATAGACGTTGAAGGATGCTTTCCACCATGTCTAGCGCCGCGGTGCGTGCCTCCCGGCCGGTGCTGGCCCGCAACATGTCCGCGATCACGGCTGTGAACGGGAGGTACATCATCGACTCGAGAGGGAACCCAACCGTCGAGGTAGGTGGGTGTGAAGTGTGTATGCAGAAGGCAAAGAACGAGATATAGAGCGGACGACAGTGTGCAAGTCAAGGCTGCTGCTGTGCCAAGGCCAAGCGCTCGCGGCCAAGCTCGACGATACCCAGCCATCGTCGCATGCTTTGTACCTGGCGTGCGAAGGCTTGTCACCGTTTTAGCTGTTGGTGACGCGCTGCTGCGGTGCTCCGTGTTGCGCACACACCTCTCGGCGCAGCAGGCAGCAGAGCATGCCCTTTGCAGGGCAGGGCAAAAGCGACAATTTCCGCACAGCCTCGGCTTCATAGTACAGCGCGGTCCCCGGTTTCTACACGGCTGCTGTTTTCTCCGGTTGGGGTTGAGTACACTGCGGTTACTGCTTCTGCTGCTGCTGTGCACCAAAAGCAGATGGTGGTTGCTCCTGTTGCCGCAAAAAATCAACGGCCTTGGCCAAAATCATCGGCACGTGTTGTTTGTCCAGGCAAACTGCTTCCTACACAAACCAAAGCGACGCACGACCGTTCTCTCGTCGCCGCCAGCTCGGGCACGGGTGGTTTTCTTGTTAGCAACATGTGAGGCAGCTTCACTTCCTTCTCCAACATGTAGCACCATAACCTCTGCTGTTGGTATCTGCTGGGGGGGCGCTAGTAGCGTTCGCGCATTTTTTGTTCGTTTTTACGGTCTGAAAACTCGCCGAAACGCGCACAAACCCTCAAAAACGAACTTCTCTGTTACTGCTTTCGAGGCACCTATGTACCACAACAGCAAAGACGTACCTGGGAGTGGGCGAGAGAGAAATAGAGCGCACGACAAAACTCAACACTAGCCGCCGTGTTGTTTGCTGCTGTCACCCGAAACGTATGTACTGAGAATGCTTGCTAATGTTGCAAAAAAATGGAACGCACGCATGTATGTGCATGTGCACAGTAGCAGCCTACAGCAAGCAGTGCACATCTGATCATCTGCGGAGTGTTGTCCATGTGGTACTGCTGTAGCATAAATACAGCAGTAGGCTGCTGCTGCACACACAGCATGGATGGCAGCCGTGTTCACCGGGAGAGGTCTATCAATTGCGCTTGAAGTACTGGGTGCTTCGTGTGGCGAATCGAGGTGCATAGCAAGTACGGTTCACATCGACTACAGTAGCCGCACCAAGAGATGCATATTGACCGAGGGCGAAGTTTTGTAGTTTTGTAGTTTTTTTTTCCCGAATCGAGGCGGTGGTGCGTGTACATCCAGCAGTACCGTCTCCCTTTTTGGTGCCGTTTCGTGTACATAATTGGGAACCAGCGCGTACATCCCTACCGCGGTCCAGCGCCTTCGGCAAGACTTGCGATAGCGTACGCAGATCACGCTTTGCTGACCCACCGCGGAAAAGCAGACCAGAATCTCAAACAAGGCGAAGCGATGATATATTTTGTCTTGAAACGGATCATGTCATATGTCACCTTGCCCAAGAACGACAAGAACAGGTTGTCTCTACGTGTATCTAAATAGAGGGGGGGACCGCTGGTTGGGATTATACGGAAGGCGCTGTGCGGGGTAGGGGGGGTGAGCGGGACACGGGATGCATTCGTCGAGCAGTCGAGAACACCACGCTATTTTCGCGCCTCGCACAAGATAAGGGTTCCTACTAACCACTTGGTTTGCCCCCCCCCCCCCCCCCCCCCCCCATAAAAAAAAA